CCTGCCCCTCCCCCGCAGCTTCGCAAAACCAAAGCTGCGGTTTGCTCCCTCACTTCCCACTGGCTTCTGCCACACCAAAGCCGCAGTTACTAGCCTGTACGGAAAGGTGTTTTGCTGCAAAACTTCGTAATTTGAACCAGCTCTTCCTGTTCGCTGGAGCAACGTGCACTACCTGATGCCCCTCTCCCCTTAAAGAAAGAATTCCTGTCTTGAGCTCCAAAGTGCAAAATTTAGTTGGTTCTTTGTATTCAATGCACCCCCCTCCCCAAGGCTCCGAGAAGACTCACAGAGCAGAATTTTCCCTGAGTAATAAGCTGTATGATTCACTGTGATCAAGGAAACACGCTTCACGTTTGAAGAATGCTGCTATGAATCAGTATCTTTGCTAGTTCTGTCAAAGCATAAAACCAGAATGATCTGCTTTAAGTCTGCTCCCGCGGTGCCAGGAAACAAGCTCATTCCACGAACCTCACTGGCTTTCTCAACATCTAGCTTATTGCACAGATTGCCTGGAGTAAAGCATGCATGAGTTACGCTGTGCCACACTCGTCCAAAGCCTCATTAAATCCATGTTGTAAAGCACCTTAATAAACATTAAGAGACAGCACTTTTTTTTTTTCTTTTCTTTTTACACACTCATCTCTTTACCAGAAGTACCGGTACGTTGGAAAATTTAGTCCGCCATCTTTTTCCTGTAACCTCCTACCACGACATGTTAAGAAAAAGCACCTTCTACTCTGACGATGTTTTTGTGGTTCTTGCAATTAATCCTTAACAGCAGGACATGCCTCCAGTAGTTTGAATTTAAACCCCTCTTTAATCTCAGTAACGCAACCTGCACGTGCTCCGACACTCAAATCCTGCTCCGTGCTTCCCACAGGGTATCCGCACGTAACGCAGTTTTATTTAGAGGATACCGCGCTTTTGTGCTGCCGCAGTTACAGCAGCTTCCTTGACTCGCCGACTTGGGCACGGCACGCTTACCAAATGTTTCTTTTGCTAACTCAAGGTCTGACTCCTCTTGTAATTTCTTTAGTCGTAGTTTGTCTGCTAACTGTTCTTCTGGTGTAAGTTCTTTATGTTCCTCTGGTGCCTCTAACTGAATTTAAAAAAAATATATATAGGGAGAACGTTATATTTCTTACCCTTCAGCGGAGGTAGTACAAGAAGCGGTGTTTTTTCCAGTGCCACTTGCATAGCTTACTTCTGCCTGAGGTCAATGCACCTCAAGCACGTACAAACCTGAAAACCATCCCAATGAGGTATAACAATGCCACATTGTTTGATAAATTGTTCATTTTACAAGAAGTGGGAAGAAATGCCTTAGTTCTAAGTTTCACAGCTGCAAGTTTTATCATGTGGTGCATACAAAACAGAGATAAGCATTATTTCAGCAACTGGTTAAACTGCAGAGAAATTAAAGCTAACATCCCCCAGACGCTATTAAGTACAAGACTTAAGTTTGTTTTATCAGACTAGTCAAGATCTTTACAGGTCTTGTTCAATCTCAAAAAAAAAAAAAAAATATCAAACCTGCCCTCTAAATTTTATGAGACCCAGAAGAAATAAGGAGTTACCCTTTTTTTAAGCTCCTCTTGCTTTTTCTTCTGTAGCTTTTCTTTTTCTTTTATTTTTTCTGCTATTTTCTTTTTTTCTGAAACTTTTGGTTCTGTAAAACATTGAACAATACAGCTCCCAAGAGGTCCATTGATTTTATTTGTTTTTCAGCAACTACAGAAAGACTAATCAAAGAGCAAGCCACCGAGCTCAACGACTGGAATCTGAACCCAGAGAGTTGAAAGACATGCTCTGTCAAAACCAAGACCAACCTTTTGATTCTTCAGATACACCCAAGACAAATCCAGTGTCTGTTCTGACGCTGCGTACAGAGCAATGTATTACTTTTAAGGCTTACCTTGTTTTATCTCTGTCTCCTTCACTTCCTCCTCTTCCTCCTCATCATCCCAGTTATCCTACAAAATAAGTTTTAATTAAGATTCTTTCACAGATACTTTCTACTTGTTTAGGTAACAAAGAGCAGCAGCTTACACATGACCTCCTTAAATGCTCACACAGCCATTCATCTTACGTGCTGGAGCAGGGAGGAAGTCGTGACAGCTGTGCTACAAGGGCACGGCTTTCGGGAGGTGACCAAGATGTTTCGGGACCAGTTCTTACCAAGAAAAAGGCAGCTTTTATTCAATTGAGAAAGCTCACATCAACGTAGTTACAAAAGCAAGGTCATGAACAGTCAAATCAGCCCCCGCAGTAAAACATGAGTTTATTATTTACAGTTTCTTGTATTACCCATGACAAGACATGGGAATGCCATCGGATACATGCGCGTAGTACCAGCCACCACTGAGCACAGACAACTCGCCTGAAACCATTTTAGATGAGAACAGGCAGTCACCACGCCCCAAGACCCCCTCCTTCCCAGATACCCACACCCACAGCCCAGCGACACCAGTGTGCCCCTCTCCCTTCTGCTGGGAGAAGCGCTCCTGCACCCGGAGCTGCGAGGCACGGGGGAAGGCTAACCCGGGTCTGCTGCCGACACGAGGCTGTGCTGCAGGGGCAGGGGCAGCGGCAGTGAGCAGATGTTCGAGAACGCCGGGAGCCCACCTTTAGGCAGGAATACCAACTTCTAACAGTCACAAAACCACGTTTTTGCCCAATGATCGCTGCTTTTTTTAACACGCAAAGGAGCGACCAAAGACTCTTCTCACAGACGAATCACTTTGTTCTCCAACAGCCATCGTGTTCCCCAGTGCATTTTCAAACACGGTGGTGTTTACAGTAGCTCTCTGCTTCCAGTTTTCGCCTTCAGCATGTTCACGATTTGTGGCGGCCCTCATCTACTGCACGGCACACCCCACCGCCAGCCATCGCTCGCTGCCCTCCTCCCTTTCAGAGCCATCGTCCCCCATTCCTCCCGGCCGCTGTCCTGTACCCAGGTGGATGATCCGTGGTTCAAAATACCACCTGTGGTTCAAACGAATACTGAGGGAGCATCGTTTTCTACGGAACTGACCTGTTGATGTCATCTGCAGACTTTGCCAGTGGTAATTCTGCAGTTTCTTCCTGACTGGTATCTGGGTCAGGCTTATGGGAATACATATTCCTTGTCCTAACGCCACTGCAAATTCAAGCGGATGGCCTCCGCATGGAAATCGATGCTCTAAAATTGATGTGAAGTTACGTGCTGAGTACCACATGATGTACACACCAGAAGCTGAAGCCAAGAAATCTCACAGGAATCTAATTTTAGTTAACTGTTTCAACTCGACTTGCAAGCTTAAAGAGATTATATTTGACAAGACCTAGTTTACACAAAAATCACACATACCCTCAGTACATCATTATCGGTAAGCCTGAAAACCACAAATCCTGAATTTTCTCATTTCCACCTCAAAACAGTAGTGCAAGCAGTCATGCAAGCTCTTTGTTAATTGCTAAGGGTTGCTACTAGCATGGCAAAATAAGACATTGGTGGAAGAACTCAGTATTTCACTGCAACGTGCTGATCCAAGCAAGGAAGACGCCCGAGTTCATCTACCAGCTCACTCCAGTTAATTGGCACTTGTAAGGGATTCAGCTTCCCTTCCACATTCCAAGAAGCTGACTTGAATTTGGAGCAGCATTATTTTAGCTCATATCTAATTAAGAGTTTGTCACACCCACTTCTCAAATAGCTCTGTTCATTACTGCTGTATATAGCTTGCTGCCTTATCCCCTGCCCTGTCCTTTCACAGCCAGATTTTAAAATCACAGATTTCAGGAAGGGCGCCCTGTCCGTGATGTAAAGGTACTCACGGGACTGAAGGAAACTGCTGCGTATCATTAGCACGTTTGGGAGGGTACAACGGAGGGTACGTGGGCAAGGACTTCCACGTGATGACAGACGCACTCCTTCCCCGCAGCAGACCCCGTCCCCGCTAGCTATGACTGCACGGGGAGAGCGCGCGATGGCAGTGCCAGCTTGCAAAGCTGCGATGATGAAGCAACGTAGGAAGAGCAGACCCTTCGGAGGGGGGTGTGACCCTCTGCCATCTGGCCCAACCTGCCCCTGAGCTCTGAGGTGGAATTTAAGATCTTGGCTTTAACCGAAGGCATCGTCGACTGCCCAGAGCCCACCCCCGGAGACCACTGCTGCTGGAACTGGGGACAGGCAACTGCGAGCTCCGCGTCATCGGAGAAATGCTGCCGGCAGGGCAACCCGCGAGACGTCGCCGTCTGAGGATTCGCTCTTCAACCCGGTGTGCGAAGGTATGCAGGACTCCCAGCCACGCTACTATTGCCTCAACTCTTCTCCAACAGTTTTTTTTTTTTTTAAATAGTAATATAACATGATTGATATATTGGGCAGGCTTCTTTTTTTCTTTTTTTCCCCCCTCTTTTACTGGGGCCAGGAGGACCATCCAAATATACACCTATTTCTGTGGTTTATAAATTCCAGTGAGCTCTCTTGGAGGAAAAGAAAATTGCTCTCATGGTGTATCTTTGCACTCATGCCAAGTAATTCAAAGAGGACATCTTTATTCCAAAGTATTTCAACGATACCTGCTTATGCATACTTAACTAAAATAAGGCTACCGAAAATATCTTCCATTTCATGTAAATAAACCCTTGATGAGAGCAGCTCTCTTACTATTTCACATGCTCCATCACAGGTACCTTAAACATATGATACCGCACATTGTTCCCCCCAAAACCAGAAGACATGATTGGAAAGCAGCAGGTACTCCAGCATTTAGATTCCCAGCTAAACCTGAACGCTCTCCTTCCAAAAGGAATGGCTACACCATGCTGAAGGCTGTCGCCTGGACGATAACAAGCACATTTCCCAGTTTTGGCTTTGCCAAGCACAGAATTGCCCAAGAGTAAATAGATGAAAATTCCTTGGTAGGAGGCCTGTCTTCTGGGAAACTTGTGTTCTGGGTAACACTGCAGAGGAGTTTCGTTACTGGTGAAGATGCTAATTTTAAACCTGGGGAAGTCAAAGTTTCCTAACTTAACAGTTGCTTTAAGTTCATTACTAAAAAAATCTTCTAAAATAAACTACAGAATCTGAATATATAAAACACATCCCAAAATGTGAAATACTAACCTCAAGACAAACTCGTGGTCACAAAACACTCTGTGCTTCTATTTTAGACCATGTCATTTTTCTTAGATGTGTACTTCCCCCACAGTGGACCCTTGCGAAGAAAGAGCCTAGAGCCTAAGGAACCACCTCCCAGGGTCACTTCTGTGATCTCTGGTGTTTCTACAGCAAGAGCAAACCAAAGTAAAATAAAATAGCTTGCTTTGCTGGAGCGGTCCTTCTCTCTAGATGCACCTTCAGTACTAAAACCATAATCCCTCGGGAAGAGTTAAGTAGCTGCATTCTTACTACACGTGGCAAAACTTGGTTCCTTTATTAAAAAAGCCACAGAAAGCACAGGTGTCTCCAAGAGATAACGCTTTGGAGACCAGTTCTCTTGGACACATTCCATGGTAGCAGAAAAGTTTCTCACTTTCAAAGGAAGAAGGAAAAGCAAGCCTCACAGAGACAATGAGTCTAAGATACACGTGTTTATAGACACATACACATATATAAATTATATATATATGCATATAGTTACATGCTAACCACACTCTTTACAAGTGACTGTAGCTACTGTATACAGAGATACCTTTATTTATTTTGCCTGCTGTAATGTGACACCTAGGATAACTATAGCATGTCGGTGTTAGTGAATTTAAGAAGGAAAAGGGACAGCCCAGCCTGCAACTCACAAAACTAACTTTTTTTTTTTTTTTTTAAGAGAAGATGAACTACTTTTTCATACTATTTAGAAAAAGAATACCACCCTAAGCTCCAAGGACAATCGTGCTGGTGTTTTTCAGAGACTCTGGTAACAGAGTCAGGGGTCTAAATAACAAACAAGTCCTCACCCAGTAAGCAGCAACACTCTGCTTCGGAAAGCTTCGGACTTGTGACCATCCTACAACGACCAAGTCGGCTCGTGAGATCGTCTATTACAATATCTCAGCAGCTTGACTTGAAACTAAATGGTCTTTTTCAGTTGACCTACTTCATTCCTTACATTCATCAAGCACGTTCCTTGTATGTTCCCTGGCATCATTCTGCTTACTGTCCATGTGAATCCGGAGCAAACTGAGGTTTCTGGGGCATCCACTTTCCAGTCCCCCTGCCTTGCTAAGGGACAGCTGGAACCAAGTAGGAGAAAACCAGTTTTTAAAGGAAGGTCTGCTTTCATAAGCATCACAAATGAACATCTGCACATTTTAATACTGATTCCATGCAGACATCACTCTTTGAAGGACGGTAAAAATCCGTTTCAAATAGTGCCCTAAGTAAACATATTTTAAAGCGGTACGGGCAGTACCAAATCTGAAACTGCACAGTAAGGACCGCTGTACTTTCCGACTGTGGCGGGGGGCCTGGGGGAGTGGTGGTGGGAAGTAGGAAAAAGGGGTGGGAAAGACATGCTGCTACAGCACCGAAGTTTCTGGTCAACAGCAGAAGCACAAATACAGCACTGCTTTCACTAAACCCAATCCTAATCTCTCACCCTGCGCACCATTCTCAAAACGACGAATGTGAAAGGCTACAGG